TGTTCTTACCTGCAAAATTCTAGAGAGAGAAACAAATAATAGGAGAGAGAAACTGACCCAAAATTCCACTCTGCACAAACGTATGGCCCAATGCGAAGATGGGCGTACAGCCCTGCTCTCTGTATCGTCTTGATAAACCTCACCAAATCGTATCTCCCTTCAAAATTGTACTGAAAGAAGAAAAACAGTTCCAGAAATCAGTGGTGTTAGGAATATCTGATTTGTGGTAAGATATTGTACATTATGTCTTGTGACTTTGTGTTAGGCTTATAAACTCATGATCATTCACTAAATTAACCGGTGACTCTTTCCAACAATCTTCGCCTCAAAACACATCATAGAGTCTCCTGAGATCTATAGAGTCCTCGAACAATCTCGCCTTAATCAAGGCTCGACTCCTCTGTAGAACTCTTTGTTCGACACTTGAGATTTTAACTACATTTTCGAGACTCACAATTTCTTTGTTTGACATCTGACGATTTTATTGACATGCTAAGTTAACCTATGAACTTCAAAGCAAAATCACTAGAATTTATATTCAAATGGACAAGAAAAAGTGAAATGAAGCTGGAGAATCAAGTTACAATGCCAGGATAAGGCTCGTGAACGTTCCAGAAAACGTAGGTTTCCACCACGTCTAGGCCTCCATTTTTGGCTTTCTGAATCAGATCTTCCCACATCTAAGAACAAAAGGAACACCAAAACAGAGGCGAAATCAAATCAACTTATAGAGAGAAGAAGAACAGCGCAATTTAATTTGCGTATAATAAAATTACTTCAGGAGTGCTTCTAGGGTAGTGGATGGAGCCGGAGAAGAGGATTCTCCGTTGGCCGTTGATGAGAATGGCCTTCCGATCGTACGTGACAGAGCAGTGGATGAAGTGGAAACTGGCTAAGAGTAGGGCGATTAGAAGAGTGATGGAAATGGAAGAATCGGCCGCCATTGCTGAAGCTTGAAGAGCGTCCTGTTACTCGCTATTGTTAGAGAGAAATGGGAATGGGAAAGTGGAAGAAACAAGTGTCTATGGGCATATAGAGGAAGCGATCGTGGCCAAGAGAATGGGCGACACTAAGTGAACAAAAACCGCATTGCCTGCCTAATTCCAAAACACCCACACACACACTAAATACAACAAAACCGACCATTCACACTGTATGATCGAAATTATCCCACTCAAATCATAAAAGTTCGGTCGAAAATAAGAAAAATATTTGAGTGCACTCTACGAACCCAAACCCGAACTGAACACGATGGTCTTGATTTGTAAATATTTCGTATATAAATTTTATGAAATTTTAGTTATTAATATAATATACACTGTAAATAAATAGAATTTTTTAAATAATTAAAAAAATAATTCGATAGTCTAAATCCAACTTCAGAGTTGGGTTAAATTATTTAAAAATTATTTAATAAGATAATCGACTAAATAAATTTTATTAAAAATTTGAGGAAAATATTTTTTCTCTTAATATATTTTTTAATATATATATATATATATAAAGGTAGAATATATTTTTTAAATCCTTTTGATATACTACCATAAATAACATATATATTTATTATTATTATTATTCATAAAATCGTGGAAGTAATGAAGATAACAGCATTTATTTTCAATTAATAATTTTAAAATTGGATGATTTTAAATAATGTGAAAAATATATTTCATAAATCAAACGGTAAAAGTACAAAAAAACCCAGAAGCTATGTCGGAAAAATTACATATAATATAATTATAAAATTACAAATATTGTTGCCTACAAAATATTATTCTCATATATTTTATTTATTTATTTTTAAAGCCTCCAAAATTATTGGTTTGTTGAAAAAAAAAATTAAAAATTATAAAAATGGGAAATTAACCTTTCAAAGGAAGAAAAAGGAAAAATAAATTATGATGGTTTATAATGATATCCAGAAAAGATTTTTTAATATATTTCTTAAAATTGAAAAAAAAAATAAAAAACTCCCACCAAATGCGTGGTTTTCAGTTGCCACCGGTTATAATTAATTTTGTTTTTTTTTAATAGAATTAACAGCTCTAATCTTTTATTAAAATGCCTAAACACTTATATTATTAAGCAATAATTTTTTTATAATATTAAAAAAAAATACATTTATCATGGTAATAACAAATCTGGGCCCCCTTTCCAAATAATAATAATAATAATAAATTAGTATTTTTTGTATTTTTTCTAAAAAAAAATAATTATAAAATTTTAAAATTTTTAATAATACCCTTTTAACTTTCGAAATAATATTTAAAATACCTTAAAAAAATTAAAAAATAGTTAATACTTTGTTAGAGAATTTTAAGACTTTTACGAATATTATTAAATAATTTTAAAGTTTAAAATTATTATTTTTAGATAAAATAACAAAAATACAAGATATTTTTATTAATTTGATAAAAGAAAAAAAAAAGTATTTTAGATAATTTTAAAATAATGAGAGGAAGAATAAAACATTTATTAAAGAAAATGAAAAAGAAAAATGAAAAATGGAATGGCACGTGAGGGGGATGTGGAATTATGATTTATGAATTATGAATTATGGTGCGGTGTGGAATAAATTGGCGCAGCCATCAGCGGCGCGAAGGACGGGCGCATAAAGGCGGCATTTGTGGAGCCTCATTAATTAAACCCACACCAAACCGAACCCACCTACCGACTCATTTTCCACCCATCCCTTTTCCTTTTCCCTTTCCCTTTTCTAGGATTAGTGCATATAACACGTCTTTAATAACCTTATATAATCACATATTTATGTTCTTAATTATACGTTAATTAAACTAATAACTTATGATCTAGTCGCTTCAGGAGGAAACGAGAAAGGGAGCATAGTCTTCATCTTTGTTTCGTTTATTTTTAATTTCTGTGATTCTAATAAATTATCCTCGTTGTTATGTATATATGAACTACTATATTATTTTTAATGGCAAAAAAAAATTATGTATAGAACTTGATTGTCATCAATGAAATCAGAGTAGATAATTGAACGGAGATGGGAAAGAGGAGGTCATTCCGGCTCGCTTAGGACATGTCATGTGATGTCCCACATTGGATGGGGAGGAGAACAAACCACCATTTATAAGGGTGTGAAAATCTTCCCTTAACAGACACGTTTTAAAGCCTTGAGAGAAAGTTTGAAAGGGAAAGTCCAAAGATGACAATATCTGCTAACGATGGATCTAGGCCGTTACAAATGGTATCTGACGATATGTCAGTCTTCTCGTTGGACCCTGAAGGGGGTAGACACGAGGCGGTGTGCCAGTAAGAACGCTGGGACCTAAAGGGGGTAGATTTGGGTGGTCTCACATCGATTGGAAGAAGGAAAGAGTGTCAGCGAGGATGTTGGGCCTCGAAGGGGGTGGATTATGATGTCTCACATTAGTTGGGGAGGAGAACAAACCACCATTTATAAGGGTGTGTCATTACCTTAGCAGACACGTTTTTTTTCGAGGAGAATAAACCACCATTTGTCCAAAGAAGACAATATAATTTAATTTTGATATAATTTTACTTAGTCTCACAAGTAATTATTAACGAGCAAATGCATCATTTTAATTGGTAATTAGAGTCAAAACTTGGCAAAAGTCAATGAGGGTAAGGATTAGTTCCACGATTATGTTAAATAGTGTTAGTTTTGATGCATACATTATTCTTATTTTGTTTATTATAGTTGTTATTATTATTATTCTAAATTAGTTAGAAATTTATTTTTTATTATTATATTACACAAAAATCTCATTATTTTCATCTTAAATTAATTCAGAATTAGATACATATCAATAAATAATCAATATTTAAGTCTATAATTACTTCATTTATTTGATATTTCAAAAAAATAATAATTAATCTCATAATCTCATTAGAGTTGGTACCATTGACTCAAAAAACACTAAAATATTTCATCATTTAGGCAATTTTAATTAGTGGAGTGACGTCATCTAACACTAAAATAATATTTTGGAATTTCAGTAGGCATTATGAACCAATACCTAATATTAAACCATTTTAAATTATTTTCTAAAAACTTTTAAAGATTATAAATGAGTAAAATAAAAATATTTTTAAACTTTAAATTTTCTCACAAAATTTCAACAATACTTGTAATTTTTTTAAAAAAATATATTCTAATTAATGCGAGATATGTGGCGCTTACAAAGATTTTAATCTCCACTCCTACTACCAATAAATTATTAAAAAAAATTAAATAATAAAACATATCCAACTTCTATCATATATATATATATCTAAAAATTGTAATATTACTTTCGATAATTTTAAAGCAGAATGAAAATACAAACTCAACTTAACACTGATAGAAATTTATAGAAATTTTAAAATATTTATGAAAATGTTAATATTGCAATTTAAAAAGAATAAAAATAAATAAACAAAAAGATATTGTGAAAGTTTTTTTTTTATAAATAAAAAAAATATTCCACGCTGGAAATTGAAGAAAATGATTAAATGTTACATGCTTTCTTATTCCGTGTTTGGCGGGTTCCTATGGAATGATGCCATGCTGGGGCACCGGAGCCGTTGATTTCATCATTTTGCCCATTGCCGTTTATACAGTTTCATAAATCGTGGATAACCATAATAATGACTCATATATTCATAATAATAATAATAATAAATCTTAAAATTAGTAAAATATGCATTATAAATTAATTAATTGTCATTTTATCTGATCTTAGTAATGTGTTACGGGTAAATATAGATTTAGTTTAAAATAAATCAATCGTAAAAACAAGATTCACGATAAAATAAAAAAGAAAAAAAAAACTCTTTACACGTCTACACGTTTGCCCAATACACTTTGATGGGTAAACTGATTCAACATAGTGAGAGTTGAGATTGTATGCCTCGCATGTGGAGATTTTTCTATACATGATGATTGCTTTGCCTCAATGGTAATCTAACATTTTGGACCATGTTGCACGATGAAACGATATCGGTTGTGCAACACTTGTTACAATCCAACAAACAAGCTAGTTTACGGAAGTTGGACTTTGCAAACAGTTTTAGTGTATGATCGAGTCACGAGTCATGTTTGAAAGAAATTTTTTGGAAATAGGTTGAGAACAATTTGAAAGAAATCAATGTTATAAGCTAAAAGCGAATAAACAGTCACGAAGAATTGACAAATAGTTATATTCCCCTATAGTATGTTTTGGGGCATTTTAGGTTTGGTAAGCGTAGATATGATTTTGGTGACAGATCATACACATTTGTATTGATACAACAATAATAGTAAATACCTATCTAACATGAAAGCAAATAAAAGGGGTTTGGAATGGACATGCGCTCATGAACAACATGTTCTGAACAAGCATAACTAGGTATTCGACATGCAGCCATAGACAACACACTTTGGAAAAGCACAACAGTGATACACCACATGAGCGTGCTAACATTTTGCCCCACCCCTCAAGTAAAAAGTTGGGAATATCAATCCGCTCTCCAATATGATATCTAGAAACAACTTAGCATGGACACGAATGGTTCGTGCCTTAATAATATATGGATTGATAGATGTTAGGGATGTCCTGAATATGAAGCTGACTCACGAGTTAGTTCACGATAAACATGATCAAGCAAGTAGCAAAGGCCGATGATATCTCGCGACTTAAGATGACATCAAGAAGCGTGAACCATATTATCGAGAAACAAGACAATGGAATTAGACACGATGTTATTCATGTTAGCTTCAATGTTAGGTCAAGTCCATGTGGATAGGACGAACTCATTTTATTCCAAAATTGATACTTTATGATGTTTGAAAAGTTACCCTTTTTATTGGGTTGTCCTAGTTGATCCATCCACGTCGCCTTACAGATTGACGAGGCAAGTTCACGCATCCGTAACCATTTGGCTTTCCAATTTCAGATTTTGCGCTCTTGGCATAATCACTTCCGATTAAACAAAATGTCTCTCCCAAAATTTTAGTTACCATAATATCAGTTTCCGAGATTTAACGAATTCGAAAGAAGCTTTGGATGATGACGACGACGACAATGAAGAGGAAAGCTGCCAGTTATCTCTTCAGATACTCTCGAAATTTTCACTCCGATCAGCGTTTGAATCTGAATCACAACAATTCGCGTCTGCTTTCAGGTTGCGTTTCACGTCTGGTTGATTTCATTTGCAATCTGTTCTTTCAGGCTGATACATCTGATTGATTGATATGCATTGCTAGTTTGTTTACCTTGTTTTCTTTTATCCGTCATTTTTAGGAACTTTCTTGTGCTGCAAAACGCCTATCATTAGAGACAGCACGCCAATTTCACAATATTGCAGAGACGCTTATCATGCTTCTGCGATCAATCATTTTAGAATGGCTAGTGGATTTCAGTTCAGACGCTTTGCTTCATTATCGTCAGTGGTTCAGAGAAATCCTTCTTTTTCGAGATTAAATTCTGATGATATCGACTTTTTTCGGAGTATTTTGGGGGAGAAAAATGTAATTCAGGATGAGGATAGGCTTTTGGATGCAAATACTGATTGGTTGCGGAAGTACAGAGGGTCGAGTAAGCTTTTACTTCAACCTAGGAGCACAGAAGAGGTTTAATTCTTCTTCATTGAGTTGACGCTATTTTCTTTTTCGTTCTTTATAGTCAATGCCTGTCAAAATTCTGAAGCTAATGGCTAATGGCTAATGGCTATGGTTTATAGAATGTTGAATTATAATGATAAGTGATGCCATGATCTAGCTAACCTTCTAGAGAGTATACATTTTAGGTAGCCTATGTCCTGACTCTGGCTATTAAGGAAGCTTAATACATACTGCTCAAGTTTTCTGTTCTGTTGAGCTAACATCTCTGTAGCTGTAAAGATATTTATCCATCTTCACAACAATCTCACCCTCATAAATTTGTACCAACTCTGCTACGTCAGTTTCGGTTTCACCTGTTTAAATACTCACCTGATGGTTACCAGAGAAAAAGGGCATTTAAAACAGAGAAGCAATGCACATGATGAATGTGGTACCTAGCTCAGTTATACCTTTTATACAATATGAAGGTTGGAAGAAGGTTATGCAGGATGAGTTTCTGGCACTGATAAATAACCGAACATGGAGCTTGGTTCTGAAACTCCTTAAGAAAATAAATGGGTGAACTTGTAAGTGGGAATTCAAAATGAAAAGGCACTTTGTTGGAACTATCCCATGGTTCAAAACAGGAGTTACTGCCAAAGTATATCACTAACAATCTAATTTGGATTATGCTAAAACCTTCAGCCCAATAGTGAATCCTATAATAATCTGTCCACACTGGCACTTGGTCCTGCTCATAACGTGAATCGTAGACAAGTAGACATATTATGCACTCCTTTTTGGTGTTCTGCAAGAACAAGTGTTTATGGAAGAACCACCAGATTTTCAAGTACATGATGGTAATAATGGACTGATTTGTAAACTGCAGAAAGCAATCTATGGCATAAAAGAACGCCTACCTGGTTTGATCCTTCACTAGTTCAAATGCTAATATTATTTTTTCTTTTTCTTTGTGCTTCTAGTTCAAAGACTAATAAATCCAACTCTTATGTAAATTCTAGTTTACATGGATGGTATCATCATTTGAGGAGGTTCAAATAGTAATATTAATGAACTTATTGCAACTTAGTAAAAACACTTTGTTCTGAAGTATCTTAGAATTCTGAATTATTTTCTTGGCATAGAGATGTACTCCATTCTGGTAGATGGTGTACTCCTGTCTGAGTCCAAATACTTTCTGATATGCCAAAAGAAAAAAAGAAAAAAAAGAAAAAGGAAAGTGTTAAAATTGGCAGAGGCAAATTGCTATTGCTGTGATAACTGAATCCTTTTTATCAGCTATACAAGGATGCCCATTCTCTGATTCACAGCTTCATAGAACTATTGTTGGGGAATTGCAGTATGCAATAATTACAAGGTCAGAGCTATGTTACTCATGTAATAAAGTTTGTTGATTCATGTACTCTCCCACAAATGTGCATGGAAGGTTGTGAAGCGCATATTTAAGTACTTAAATGGCACACTGGATTGTGATACATCTTCACGCATTTCCTTCTGTAATGCCCCACCCCTTATTAACTTATATTGGAGGTCTTGTGTGTGAGTCCTCCCCTTTGTCATAGGGACTCCCTTTCCCCATGGCCATTAGGTTCTTTTTGTATGGAATTATACTTATTGTTCTAGAGAGAGAAAGAGAGGGAGAGAGATGCTCAGAAATCATAGCTCCATTACAGACCTTGAATCGTATCTTGTGAGAAGCTGAGTGTTGTTCATTGCAATGCTATTCTTATATTTCATGCGAGGACAAAATATAGAGAGCTGAGCATCACTTGGGTTGTGATTTTATGTCAGAAAATATACTTTTTGTCCAGCAGTTACATTCGGCAACTCTCGACTCTGATTTACTTACCAAACCCCTTTCTGCTGTGTCTTTTCATTGATTAAGAGTCGAGTAAAATGCTGTTTTGTCAGTCATTGCTGTGTATTTTCTTTCATTGGTTTGAGAGTTTCCAGATTGCTATTCTCTTTCTTTCTTTATCTTTATCTGGATACTCTTTCTGTGAAAAAAAACCCAAGAAGAAGTTTACTTAGTTTCTCTTGCTCAATCTATTACTATGTCCAATCCCTTACTCTCTAGAACTATATTTCATTCATCTGAAGATTGACCCGCCACTCTCCCAGGTATAGTGCATTTTGTTATATAATCTTTTGAATTTGAATTTTGAAAAAACCAAAGATAATATCAAGGATGGTTTGGAGAGGGAACTGAAATTGGTGAAAATATTTATGACAATGAATTTGAGTAGGGATTATAATTAAAATATTTTCATTTGAAATTTTGTACTTTGGTAATTTCCATTGTGATATCGGTTGAGTTGTTGTGGATAGTAACAACTCATTGGTTTCACTGCTATTCGAAGACTTCATTGTTGAAGAATTTTTGATGAAGCCACCAATCATGGCTAGAATTCATTTTTGTTGATCAGGTTCTTGACTGAAGGAAAGAATGGTGATTAGGATCCGTATTTGTCGGATTCTGTTAGAAATTGCACTGTTTCTAATTTTGTTTAGGAATAATTACAAATATTTTCTTTTATGGGAGATACATTCACCCAGCTACGGAGAAGACATTGTTGTATACTTTACTATGAGGACAAGTTTTTTTTTTCTTTTTATCTAAATCAGGGTGAATGACGTGGAGAAAATATATTAGTCCTATTGTATTTATTAGTTTAATAATTTTTTTTTTTTTTTTTTTTTTTTTGGAAAAATTAAATTGCAATTAGTATTTTAGAACTAATAGTTATTTCGTTTTCTTATTACACAGTTTTTTTTTTTATCATAGGTTGAAATGGAAGAACTCTAGAGAGTTTTTCTTCATCTTTCGGAGATTTTTTCTCCTTTGACCATAGATTGACTTAAACTGAAAATATGCTGCTTCAGGGCAGAGGGGGTGTGTGCGAAAAGAAAGGTCACTGGAAAGCTGGAAGTTAGTGTGTTTAAGTTTTCTGCTGAGCTGTACAGTTATGTTAACTGTCACGAAGAGTTGGATTGAATTGGTTTTACTTTTATTTTGGCAACTCCTGCTGAACTTGATCCTATTTCTCACTTTGATAATCTTCATTTTTTTTGTTTTGATCCGTACTGTTTTTTCTCTATCAAATACTTTTTCTTTTCCCCTCTCTATTGAGGTGCCTTTTGACACTTATATAACTTCAGTTAACTAAGGATTGATATGTATGTTTGACTTCTTTTCTCAGGTCTCCCAGATACTTAAATATTGTAACTCCAGAGACTTGCCTGTTGTACCCCAAGGTGGAAATACTGGTCTTGTTGGCGGAAGTGTTCCAGTTTTTGATGAAGTAATATAGTTGTTTAGTTTTTTATTTGGTTCCTATACATCAGCTGATGAGTGAAGCATATATCTCCCTTTACATGTTTATAATCTGGATTATTATTTTGATTCTAGAGTTTTGGATATCCTATGAGTAAATGTCTGTTCTTTTTTAAGCCGTAGCTACTCTATTCATATTTGTGTATCTAAATTGCTTGTTATTTATGTGAAAAAAATGTTATGGACAATGTGCACAATTTTTATTTTAATTGAGTAATACCGTTTAGTGCCAAAAATCCATCCCTTAAGAAACATCATCTCTGAATAGCTTTCTTTTTTAAATTTTAACAAAAAGGAGTTGCTTTCTTTTGAATCCTTTGCAGGTAATAATCAACCTTGGATTAATGAATGACATCATATCTTTTGACAAGGTAAACAACAGTTCATTTGTCTTTTAGTTCCCTCTCTCTATCTACACTCCCTAATTACTTTTTAAGTTTTAACCACAAGATGCAAGCACTAATCTCACGTTTTTTAGGCCAGATTTGTCACATAACTTATCTGAAGTTTACATGCCCTTCAGTATCAGTCAAAAGCCATGGGAAAAGGTTCCTCCTTTTCATATTAGTCTTTTGAAACATAAGTGAATCCAGCCCCACTTAAAGTTTCTAGGAGAAACTGAGCAAAGCTCCAATTTTCTGCTTTGGCAATCATTATCCTTGTCATTTTTTTTTTGGATGAATTATCATTTTATTCATAATAGTATGTAGTGAGTTAGTTTTTTGGTTAAATTCTTCTTAGTTTTCTAAATACAGTCCGTTGTAAAAAGAGGGTTAGTCTCTTGTATCAAATACATTTGACTCATAATAAAACCCTTTGGGTTAGATTTCTTGAAGAATTCTCTCCTTTGTCATTTAGGCTACACCATAATAACTATTCTTTTTTAGTGCAATTATGTGATCAATACTTATTTGATAGTTATTATGTTGCCTTCTTCAGGTCAGTGGCATACTTGTTTGTGAAGCCGGTGGCATCTTAGAAAACTTGTCTTCCTTCCTGGACAACCAAGGGTAATATTCGGCACACTGTGCTTGCTTTTTCAACGTACACTTCCGGAATATTTCCTTTTCAAGCTCCACAACATGAAGAAGACTTGACTGAACTACTTACTGTTCAGTAAAGTTGTTTAGTACGTTTTATCACATTAATAATTACTAGGAATATTATGCGATTCCAATGCATGTATGTTACCTTGTGCTTTTGCTGAGCCCGTTTCATAGTATGCTAATTGCTACCGTAATTTTCTTTAAATGGTTTGATCACTGACATAACTTATTCAGCCTTCTACACATGACATTGTTTGAAGTGCTAGGTTAGATGAGTTATTGGCTTCACTTTTCCTCTCTGAGGCTCTAGACGTCTTTAATAGTAGATGAATAATTCACTAATTGAATTGGGAAGCAATTTAAAATGTAGGGTTGCAGTTGAAATGCAGGAAATATTTTTACTTAAAGATAAATTGGCGACTTAGTTTCATACGAAATACACCAATTTTTTATGTTATTGTTTCCTTTTTATCTTCTCTCTCTCGCTGGTTCTTCTATTGTTTCCTGATTTTGTTTATATACTTGATGAATACCTTTGTGGAAGTTTAAGAAAGCCTGTTAATGAATATTTAGGAAATTTTGAGTCAGTGTGCCAACTCTAATGGGATTAACCAACCTGAGGATAAATGCAGTGACTTTACCCAAACTTTTGATTAACTATCTTATGGAAATTCAAGAACAAAAAATAAAATTTGATCTTTCTTTATGTGTGTGTGTGTGTATATATATATATATGTCAACACAGATTCAAACACAAATAATTTGTATATAAACGCATATGATGCTTTTAGAAAACAAACTATGTAATTGATGAATCAAATACATCCATAGCATTACTGGAATCGCTAATCAGAAAGTTGAGTGTAAAAGTATCTAAAGACGATTCTTCAACATTCTACTTCCTAATATTGTAATGATAATGAAAATAATAATGGTAAAACACTTGATGCAATGACCTTACTTGGACATGATCTATTCTGTAGGTTCTAAATCTGTGTCCTTGTTGATGCATGGGGAATGAGTATAACATGATATCAAATTTACTAGTTCTTTCATTTTCCTGTACCTCCTCCCTGCCTAGCTGAAGTATTCTTGTTCCTGTTCAGCATCAAATTTATTTCATGATATTTATGTCTTCATTCAGATTTATAATGCCACTGGACTTAGGTGCTAAAGGAAGCTGCCAGATTGGTGGAAATGTTTCTACAAATGCCGGCGGTTTGCGTCTTGTTCGTTATGGATCTCTTCATGGCAGTGTACTTGGTAAGGATTGCATATGGTCATTCTGATTCATGATTTACATACATATTGCATCTCTTGTTTTAATTGATACGTGCGTGAACCACAAAGAAAAGTAGCATTAGATGCTCTTGTCCATTCTTATTAAAGAAGAGAATCATGAAGAGGCTAAAGCTTTGATGACGGTTCTGATAAGTGGCTTTGATTCATTGCAAATGTGGGAATTTGAAATTGGTACTTGCAAAAATTTTTCTTTGAAAGTGTATGTCCTCAGCAAGCTTTTGTCGAATCTTCCAGGACTTGAAGTTGTTTTAGCAGATGGTAGCGTGCTCGACATGCTGACAACTTTAAGAAAAGATAACACTGGATATGATTTGAAGCATTTATTTATAGGTGTGTGGTTATTATGTTATCTATTTCATATTTAATCTATAAATCTACGATCTCCATAAGAGGTTGTATCGGCATTGATAATGTTTTATCTTATAGGTAGTGAAGGTACCTTGGGAATTATAACCAAGATTTCAATTCTCACCCCATCTAAACTACCTGCTACTAATGTAGCATTTCTTGGATGTAAAGATTACTCGAGCTGCCAGGTATCCCACCTCTGGGTTTTACGTTCATCATAACTCTACTTTTTCTGAATAATTTTAGTTGATCCAATCAAATTATGAACCAATGGTCTCAACTTTCAAAATCTTTGATATGTATGGTTAGATGGAAGGTTATTGGAAATTGAAAATCTTCAACCTGCATGATTACTCAAAAGAATAGGTAAACATGTTCAAGATCTGCCAATTATCAAGTCTAAGTTGTTATTATAAACTTATCGTTTAGGCCTCTATGAATCCGTTTGCTTCTCCATTTTCTTCTTTGACAAAAAAAAAAAAAAAAAAA